CCACAACCACAAGCCACTAAACCATGTCTTGTAGCTCCTCATCCAAACGCTGGACAGCAACTCAACCTCCCTGGGCAGCCATTCCAGTGCCTGACCACTCTCTGAGAGAAAAATTTCTTTCCATATGTCTAATCTAAACCTCCTGTGATGCATCTTGTGGCCATTTCCTCGGGTCCTGTTTGTTGCCTAGGAGAAGAGGCCAAACCCCTCCTCATCACAACCTCCTGTCAAGAAGTTATAGAGTGCAGTGAGCTTCCCCTGAGCCTCCTCTTCTCCAGACTGAACAATCCCAGCTCCCTCAGCTGCTCCTCATAAGACTTGTGCTCCAGACCCCTCACCAGTTTCTTTGCCCTTCTCTGGACACGCTCCAGGGCCTCAACGTCTTTCTTGTAGTGAGGGGCCCAAAACTGAACACAGTACTTAAGCATGTAGCATAGCATGCCATACAATCCCAATTGTGCAAAATTTTATGAGCTGTTGGACAGGCTACTCGTGCTGAAGAGGAGTGCTTCTCATACTGATCTTCAGACACACTACAGGAAGGAGCAGGCTACTGAAAACCTCTCTCAGAGCCTCTGTGGTTCTTACAAGCAAAAATGACCTCTGTATTAGTATGCTGTGTAAATCCTGCCTCCTTTGTTCTCCAAATAGATATAAAAATAAAGCATTATTTCAAAGCCATGACATGCTTGGTTGTTATGTACTCAATTCTCTCAGTAGATGCAACGTGGTGATTTTGTGCCTCTTGTTTGGGGAGATGAGGTGTTGTTTTGTTGGTTGTTTTTTTTTTTGTACTGTGCTGAGGGAAAAGTAAATTCCTCTTTACATTTACCGTGTTAGAAATACCTATTGTTTCTGAAGAAAGTGAAAGCTTTATGGGCCATTGAAGAATTCTTACCAGGCTTTGCGCAATGGATATGCAGTGAAAGCGGATGGCTTTTTTTTCTAGCTCTCATTTGAAATTCTGCTTGGATAGCCCCAGCTCTGGTGCAACCTTAACTGCCACAGGCTATCATTTTTCTTAATGATAAGAAATGATATAATGATAAATAAACAGATAACGTTCTTCTCAAATGAAAATCTTCTCTGAATGGTGCTGCACTGCATACTCATTTTGTGCAGGTTTTGTTCTTTTTCTCGCTCTCTACCTAGGAGCATAACAGCATGAAAGTACCATGCTTTCTTTTAGTGAATGCAGTGTTTTGATGGATTTCTTTTAAACATTGGTATTAACTTGGATGAGGCAAGTGAAATAAACACATTTTGCTCATGCAAGTGGAAAATAACAGCATTTTTTATGGTCTTTATTTCTGCGGGAGTTTCTTTCTGGAAATTCTTAAGGACAGGGTAGATAAATATCTCTTAAAGTACTGCTTGTATAAATTAATCATGTTTATGAAGAGATGGACTATATAAGCTTTAGAGTTCTCTCTCTAATCTGTATTCCTTAACTAAGTGTTGAAGTATGAAAGACAAAGGGGTTTTAGGCATTTTCTGATCGAAGCAGAAGGAGAAAGCTGACAAGCTCAGATCCTAGTTACCAAGCCAAGGCAAAGCAATGTCACATCAAGCAATTTTCCCAAGCATGTGGACTTGAGCCCAAACAGCAAATCTAACAGATTCCTTCTAATGTCTCTATGTGTGAGCTTTTCTGTTTTGAATTAATTTCTTTCAATAAGCCTGCTGTTACTCCCACATGCGTGCATGTGTGGATAGTAGAATAGAATAGGGGCATGGACTGTTCTGATCAGCTTTAATTAGAAAAAGCCTATTATAAAATTGCCTGCAGTTTTGATGCTAGTGATGGAAATTAAGATTTACTATCACTGTCAAAAGAAAAGCTCAGGAGACACGTTTGGTGCCAACAGCTATTTTTCATTCTTCTTTAATAATATTAGCATCAATTTGAAGATAAGCAGTATTTAAATATTCATTCCTAATCTAATATATATGTTTAAATGTTGTCAAAAATCACCACTCAGCAAGAGTAATTTCAACTGTAAAAGCATTCAAAATCCCCTTTACTATCTGTATAATGTTGTTTTTTTTTTTAAATGATCTTTACCCAGCCTTTCAGATCTGTGATTAAATGTTTGGGATTAGGAGAGTTGTAACTTGGGATTTTTAGTTTTTCAAAAAATTGTGTATTTTGTGTTATCCTTCATTCAAAGAAAAAAGCAGAGTTCTTGGAGTTTGATAAAGTTCTTTATAGTGTGGGTGAATTTTATAGGTCCTGTGTGCTACAAGTCAATATGCTGTTGAGCTGGGACTTTAAAAAAAAAATAAATAAATAATAAAACATTGAAACAACTAATCTGTTATTATATTCAAACAGAAATGCCCAATTTTTTATTCTAGTTTTTTAGCTTGGTCTTATTCATCATGTTCAATTGATGCTGTTTGTACTGAGAAGCAGTCAAACTGCAAAGTTTGTGAAATGTACACACTCAGAACTGAAATAATAGGGATTTAAGCTTTTTACAAATTCAAGCTACAACACTGAAGTCTAGAAGCCTTGAGTATGTTCCCTGAATTAATGTGAAATGGGATTTAAGGTAGATCAGGAGGATTATTTTGGCCTTCCACTTTCTTTATTCTTGGGATATCACCACCTGGAAATTGCTACCGTAAAATTTCCTGGTGTTGAAGGAACATTACTTGTCAGGCTCACCTGCTTTTTTTTTGTTTTCTTCTTCTTATGATATCATGTTAAATATTCTGTAGTTTTTACATACCTTTTGGCCTTTAAGCAAGACTTGCAGGGACATTTGGTGACTCCTTTTAACGCAACATCTCTTGCTGCCTTAGTCTGGCTGGCCCAATTTTGAAGGTTGATGTGTTCCTATCTGTTCCAGTCCCTGGGATGCTCTGTAGTTATTTGATTGCTTGTGAAGACACCCAGCAAGAAGGTGGGAGTCAATTGGTGGAGCAGTGTTGTAGCTAGGATAGCAGCTAGGATGCCAGTTGTGACAATTTTGTCAATCTTTGTCCGAAATATGGGCTCAGGACTGTTCCCAGAGAGCAGAACGACTGCAGTTATCCTGTGATTAGAGTGAAAGGAGCATTAGGGCCACGAGCTGTCCTGGCTGGCTTCCCCTGCCCTCAGGGCTAGAGAGTAAGCCCTGGCTCTGCTTGGCTTACTGCCATGGGAGTAGCTCTGCTGTCTTGCTGCCATGGTGATAAACTCAGCGCTTGGAAGAAGCTGCAGCAGTTTCTGCAAATACACTTGGGGAATTGTAACAAACTGCATGAGACAAAGGTCATTGTAGCAAGAGATTAGATGTCCTGATGAGGAAAGGGCATAAAGCAGTGTCCCAGATCCAAATGCCTCTTTGGCACTTCTTAGTTTTTCTCACCACTATGACAAGGCAGTATTTTAACGTTTCTCTATTAAATCCTACTGTGCACATGACTACAGCTTTGCTTTTGGGTACCCAAATGCACCTGCTTCTAATTCTTGTTTATACGTTACCACGATTATACCTAGCAGAAAACTAAGTACATATTGCATTTATTTCAGGAGTAGGTGTTGTGAATGTTTGAAGAGGATTTTCTTATGCTACATTCTTATAAGATTTTAGATAATATATTGGCATAGATTTAAATATGTACTTGGAAGCTATAAAAATGTTTAACATGTATTATATTTAAAACACCCGTATAACCTACATTTATTCAGTGTTAGGTAAAGGAATACATTTCTCACCGAATTTCAGAAAATTCCTTTCTGTCTCACTGAGTGAGTTGTTTTACTGTGTTACTGACGAGTGTTTCATTTCTTCTGTACAAACATCTGATTTGTTCTGACAAGTGTGAGTGTGGTTCTCCTGGGATGCACACTCAAGTGGAAGTTTTGGAAAATCACTTTAAAAAAAGAAAAGAAAGGTAAAAAAAAAAAAAAGGAAAAAAATGGTGGGCCCTTTTCTTTATGTGCATGTGGTACCCTGAAATGTATTACCTCTTAAATGCAAAAAAAAAAAAAAAAAAAAAAAAAACACCAAAAACAAAAAAAAAACATGGAAATACTGTGAAGTTGTTTTTCAGGAAGAAATATGAGGTTGCACTTTCTCTGTTTCCTATTTCTTTATAAAGCTTTTTTTGAATAAAAGTTCATGTACAGGGTTGATAGAAATTAAGAAAATAACTATGGTAAAATGTTAGAGTTTTTAAGTTATTATTTACATATATTTGAGATTGTGCAAATTTTCTTTAGTAGAAAAATACACAGAATATTTGAACAATAGGTTTCAGAATAAAGTAATCTTTCTATTCATGCAACTGTGTAAATTTCATGTCAGGAAATTCTTTAGGTTTCACGTTTATCTAGCGCTGTATTCGTATCCATTTAGTGCTGCAAAATTTCATATTGTAGAGTAAGGCTATGCTGTGTTTTGCCAGCAGTCTCCAATTGTTTTGTTGACTCCTATCTAGTGTTTGTGAATTTTCTTTCTTTGTATCCTGAGTGCTGCAGGGCAAGGACTGGCCAAAGTGTCTCAGTTGCTGCAACAGTTTTTACGATGTCAGTTGCTTTCTGTAGCAATAAAAAAGGACTTTGCTCTTCATTCTCACAATGACATGTTTTATTTCAGCCAAACACAACAAAACTCTCAAGATTTTGATTGCCATCCTGAAGTGTGTATTATGTTGTGATGTGCAATCAGAAAGTATATAGTTAATGTGAGAATCATTATTATAATGCATAATGCTTTTTTTTTAAATGCTTTTCTTGTGGTGCCAACAGAAGACAAGTTTAAATTATGAATATTATTTATGACATGAATTATTTAATGATGCCTGAGTGATATATACTACATCTCAAGGTATTAATCTCAAGGATGGCTTTGAGGATACTTTCATCCTGAGGTGTGTTTCATATTTACAGCTATAGCAGTAAGGTCTTCAAAGGTTTCTACATTTTTATTCAAAAGCTTTAGAGTCTCAAATCATTGACTGGAATGTGCTCACTCTGTTAAAACTTTTTTAATCTTAATCTCTTTCAGTCCCAGCAAAGATGCATTGTGATCTTTGCACTGGTATGCTGCTTTGCAATTCTCGTTGCACTGATATTTTCGGCAGTGGATATTATGGGAGAAGATGAGGATGGACTCTCGGAGAAGAACTGTCAAAATAACTGTCGGTAAGAGGTAACAAACAAAACTTCTCTTTTGGGGTGGATAAGAACAGATATGAACTGTTTGATGGTATGCCATAGTTCGGCGGTGTAGTTGGTAAGAGAAGTAGATAACATCCAGTGAAATGCTTTCTTGCTTTAAATTTCTTATTTTAGAGGCTTGTTTGGCAAAATACAGCACACTTCTTGAAGTTGTGTTTTGTGGTATGTTTTGAGCAAGGTCTTCCTGTTCAGTTAATTTGTGTTCCTGAGTCAAAATGTATTGCATTTCAATAAATGAGGCCTGAGGTAGCTCATACTGCTCTCAATTTTACTGCATCTTTCTTTCATCAAGACTTTTTTTTTTTCTTTCAGGGAAGGTCACTGATTGCTTTTGACCTGAGACTGCTCCTTTTATATAACCTATTACTGCTCTTGCACACCCCTAATGTATGTGGTGTCTTACCCAGAAACTGTGAGAAAATTAGGGATACAGGCAGAAAGACTAGAGTATTGTCAGTATTGAGGCTCAAGGGAGATCTTATCATCTTATCAGTCTCTACAACTCTGTGAAATTAGGTTGTAGCAAGATGGGAGTTGGCCTCTTCTCTCATGTAACAGTGATGAAAGGTAACGGCCTCAAGCTGTTCTCGGGCATGTTCAGGTTGGATTTTAGGGAAAATTTGTTCTCATAAGACATGTGCAGAATCTACTCAGCTACCAATGGCTGGGCCTGTGGGAAGCTGGAGGTTGTTTGTATTTATTAGAATAATCTAATGAAATTTTATTGTTTGTTGGAGCCTTTTCTCATCATTTCTGCAAGTTGTACATTTGGTGTTTGACCTCTTTGCGAACAGAAACCAGTCCACACCATGCTTTCATTTTTCTAGCACTGGCTCTGTTGTTGGTTGTTGTTGTTTTTTTTTTTTCCCTTGTAAAATGACTTGGCTTGTTCACTTTGTACACTCACTGTTCTGGATGGCCTTCTAATACTTGTCTGAATTTTCTGGAGTTCAGTTAGCTTTTCCTCGTCAGGGCCTGAGATATTCTCTACTGTGAGTTATTGCCTTCCAAAATTTTTGAAGACAACTGTATGTGTCACCTCTACACCCACTCCTCTATGTGGGAATCTTTGACAGAACTAGGTCAGATGAGGGGAAAGTCTTTCTGCACAGTTGCTTCAGTGCGCTGCACGTTACTTCAATTATAGACCATGCTTTCCTTGTAGTTTCATAATGTAATAGTTCCCAGTTTTGTCCCTAGGCTTAGCCATGAAAGACCTTGATCTTCTCTTTGTACTTTTCAAATGGAAAAAAATAAAAAATTAAGAGTGAGAGTTGTGTACAGTGTCATGGTAAACTGGGGTATTGTTTATTCCATGACTAAGGGAAGAAATGCTTTTTATGGGACGCAGCAATCTCCCTTTCCAAAAATGCTCATTTTTGCTCAGTTCTTTGTTGGTTGGCATATGTAATTCTTGTCTCTTTGGACTGTGAAAGTAGAATCTGGGAGTAAAACTTCACACTGATGTTAACCATTAGAGTTGGTGAAACTGTTCTGCATTTACAGCGATAAAAGTGATCGCAGCTCTATTTTAAGATGCCTTTCAAAGAGAGATTCAAGTGCGTGATCTAGCTACTAATACTTGAACCATAACACTGTATAAACCATCTCTAATAACAGCTATTGCAATATCAAAGTGCTGGTATCTGCTACCTACTAACATTGAATCCTCCTTTGTGTGATGGAAATCAGGCTCCTTTATGTGTTAAATATATTGCAGACTTAACTGAAGTGCTGTGAGATCAGTTGCTGTGTGGCATATATTTAGTACTTTAGTACTATTTAGTAAGCACTTTTAATAAGTAAGACAAGAATTATTGAATTCTTATATTTCTGCTGTGTGAGTACTTTGACTGAAATTCAGGAACAGGCGCTTACATTTGCAGGATTGCTGAGGCATTTGGCAATAGAATGTCATTTTTTAAGATGAAACTGTTATCAAATACAAATTTTATGCCTGTGAGTCTAGATTTATTTTTATTTGTGAATAAACTTGATGGGAAATGTGCTGTTGAATTGACAAGAACTTCGATGATGGTTTGTTAAACTCTTTCTTCTACTGAAAATCAACTCCATTTTGGTGTTTGGATTCTAAAGGAAAACATATTTAAAATAGATCTGTGGTCTAGAATAGTTCTATAATTAGAAATAAAAAAGACAGAGATAGAAAACTGAATGAAGTAAAATGAAGCCATTTCTAGAAAGCCATTTTTTTTCCTAGGTTGAGAGAGAAATCATTATACTTTAAGTAGTATTTTCCAGTAAGCCTCTATATCATCTTTTTGTTACTATGATTGTATTGTTGTTCATGAATATGGATAAAACCTTTCTGATGAGATTACTGTAGTTCAGCATGAGGTTCCTCATTTGTTAATTCCTAAACTCCTCGTACATAATGAATGCTTACTGGATTTGTTGTCAAAAAAAAAACCAAAAAAAACAAAAAAAAAAAAACTTCCTCTTTACCATTGTATTTATTTTTCTTGGGAACTTTGTAACAAAAACTTGGCAGGGAAGTGGAAAAGCAGACGTTATTACGTCTATGCTAATTGCTGAAGGATTTGTTGCCATATATTGAAGAGGGCACATAGGAAATATTTTTGTTTCTTTAAAAATTACTGTGCTTGGACTGTGGATTATGATTTGTAACCTTTGAACTTCTTGCTAAAAAGCTGAGTCTTTAATCATGAACTCTAAAACGCGTTTTGCTTACAGACGGTTTGTGTCTCTCACAACGTGAAGCCAGGTGCCTGGAGGCTACAAACCATTTTCTGTTTTGTTAGTTACAGAGGCAGGCAAACAATTCGATGTATTCAAGCAGAACTTGAATGTTCCATATTTAACTAAGAAATGAATGAAATTCTTTCCTTTTCTTTTTCCTTTTTTTTTTTTTTTTTTTTTTTTTTTTTTTTTCCTTTTTATACAGAATTATGTTTTTTTAAGCTTGCTTACAGGAGTACAGAAATTGGTAACTTAGAAGACATTACAGTTCTGTCCTGGTAGTTAAGGGCAGGTAGTAGGGCAAATACATGTACCATAAAAATAATGACTAAGAGCCAATGTAAAAGTTACTATCTTCTGCTGACACATAGTGCTATTCAAAATTAGAGTTGGGTGGAGGTGGGCAAAGGTCTATGAAATTTATTTGTCAGAAAAATTTTGGGCTTCAGAATTGAAATTAGAATCTGAGTTCTGAGTGCGAACTGGAAAACTTTATTGGTTTAGATGAAATAAAGTCTCCCATGTAACACTCGTACCATGAGTCACATATGGAGAAACTGGTTTACTGAAAGTAGTTGTTGTATCCTTTAAAAAATTACTTTTATTTTTACGGTTGGACCAAGTCTGTTAAGTGGCATCTTTTCAGTACAGAGAATGCTGTGCATTCCTGGCTTGGTTCCACTAAATTTGATTTTAGAATTTCAGACTTAACAAAATACGAATGGCTTTTGACCCTTTCTATTAAAAGCAGTGTCAACTGATTGACATTTAAGGATTAAAAAAAAAAATTACAAATAGTAACGACTGTGAAAAGCAGAGTTTTTGCAGTTTGTACTTCTAACAGAATGCAAATAATTCTTTTGAGATGTCCACCATATATTGCCAGATAGGTACTGATAGATGAGACTGGTTAAGGGCATATGCTTAGCAGTCTGGGAACTTTGCCTGGCCTGTCTTATCCTGGGTCCATTAGACATTACATCTATAAAATTAAATTTTTGTAATTTGAAAATAGTACCTTTTTATGGCTGATTTGATTTGAATAAATCTTGACTAGCCTCTGACATAAGACTTACTTGATTTTGTTAAAACTGGCTGGTGATCTCTAAAAACCAAAGTGTGGAAAACAGAAGAAATTACATCTGACAAAATGTGCTGTTATCTGAGGAATATCAGGAATTCAAGCGTTCAGGAAACCTCTTCTTCCTGTTGCTGCTGGCAGACAGTCAAGGGGTGCAACAGAACTTGCATACTGTCTTAATTCTCCTTGTCTTGCCAGCCTTTCCAGTGCCCATGGAAGCAATTGTGGCAGAAAACATAGATCTTTCCGTGGCCTTGAGTCTAGTCTTGCCTCCCTCTTGGGGCCAAGGAGGACCAAGATGAAAAAGGAAGTAATGATGGATACTTTGTATGGTTCCCAGCTACAGTTTAGGATGTAGAAAGATTGTTGTCATGAGGATACTTTGTTTCCTTCTGTTTCCTCCCCTCCTCATTTTTCCGATGGGGGTTTGGGATTTTTCTTATTTTGTGAATTTTAGCTTTTCTAGATTTCTGAGGTAAGTTCTTAGTAGCAAATCACAGAATCACAGGACGGCGCAGGTTGGAAGGGACCTCAAAGATCATGAATCTCCAACTCCCCCCTCTCACCCCCCATCGCAGGCAGGGCCACCAACCTCCCCATTTAATACTAGACCAGGCTGCCAAGGGCCCCATACAACCTGGCCACCTGGTTTTGCATGTGTTCAAGGTTGATTCTGGCTTAGATTCTGCTTCAGTGACATTATTTTGCTATTTCAATTGGTTATCTCTTCCTCGGAGTAACGAAGGCACTGGAGCTCTTGTTTGGATTTGCACTGAAGGAACTTGCCTTTAGGTATAATGTGAATGGGAAAGTGTAGGTGGTTTCTTTGGTGTTTGTAGGAAGGCATTGACTAACTCTGCCTACAGCAAGCAAATAATGAGCCTGAGGTTGTGTTTCCATTTACTTCGGCAATTGTTTGGATTGTCTTGGATAAGGATTTGTATCCTTCATAATTTCAGTATCTTGTAGAGGAGCTGAATCTTCCCTTTTAAGTGCTAAGTTTTAGACCTCAACAGAGCTCAGCACTGAGATCCAGAGATTAAATCTAGTTATACACAATGCACTTTTGTATTAATCAGTTATGTGGTGCTTTCAGATGTACCTATTACTCTTGGATTGTGAGAGAGGACCCAAAATTGATTTTATTTTCTACTGCTTTATA